TTTTTTTTTTTTTTTTTTTTTTTTCATATTTGAATTTAATTTATTTTTTAACATGCGATTCTAAAGGAAAAGACTTTAAAATTTTAAGTTGGGCCAAAAAGCTTTACTGGTCCATAAATGTGACGAGCGAGGCCCAAGATTGTAGGCCCAAGACTGTTAGGCCCAAGATTGTAGGCCCATTAGTCTGTACCGTCCTCGGGAGAGATTTGCATCTTTACATCTCAGGTTTCACTTGCTCCGTTTAGTCGTGGTGATCGGAGCTCCGACATGGGCGAAGCTTTATTTGAACTCGAACAAGTTCTCAGGTCCAAACAGGTATTTCACTTTCCACTAAAATTCCCCCCTTCCCTTCGTCTTCCATTCTGGAATTTGCACATTATCAATCTCACTTTGAGTTCCTCTACAGCGTATATCTTAGTTTTTTGGAATTGGTTGTTGACAAGGATCTATATAGAACCCTGACGAGTCTTTTTTTCCATTTTTTATTGATTTGATTCATTGTTGAGCTCCTTTCCGGCATTAAATTAGTTCCTAGTTGAACTGCTGTACTAATTTTGGTTCGAGCGTAGAATTGCTAATCATTTACTCATCGGTTGATTGCAAGATGTGGTTTCAAGTTCTGCTGTCGAAGTTGATCCCTACGCTTTTACTTGTTTTCTTTTTTCTTCAATTTCGTTGAACTTATTACGTCTACTCATTTTTGCAACATAGAACAGCTTGACGATCGAGGAAGCGAATGTGCTCCAAACATGTAAGTCAAAGGCTGTTCGAGATTTTACATTTGGATTTCTCGTTGGCGGTGGTGTGACATGGGCAGGTATGTTGTAAAATGCGGCAGAGTTCAGCTTCCTTCATCTGAAAATATGATACAATGAGGATACCTAGAGGCCAGAGGGAGCTTTTAAATTTTCAATATTTACGTGTTTATGCCCCTAGATGCTAGAACATCAAATACTAAATAGTTTGAATCGGTGATATTCTTTAAAAGCAAGTAGTAAAGAATACGTGTGAATTTCTTGTGGATAATACTCAATTTTAAGATACCCTCAAAGGTTCTGGTTTTAAGCCCTTGGTATAAAAATCTTAAAATCTTTATTTGTGCAGGCATTGGAGTGGAAAAATCCTTCTTGGGGATTAGTGGGGAAAGCCATAACCATAATCTAAAGACTAGAGCCCTTGACACTCAAGATGTAAAAAGAAAAAAAAAAACATTTTGATGGTAGAATAACTCGTTCCCTCCTTATCAAATAAAGATAAAACCTAACTTTAGGGTTTAGGGTTTAGGGTTTAGTGATGATGTGTGCCCCATCAAAAGAAACTGTGTTGCTTTTCTAGTGTACAAGAAATAGCACACACTCGGATATATATCAGTTAAATGTTTGCGGCATCTTGAAGCTGCAATTCCCCTGCTCCCTCCTTCATTTATTCCTTTGATCACTCTTTAGTTTGCTCTGACAGGAACATGGAGGCTGAATAAATTCGTTCGGCTAAATCTTTCTGGAGGTGAGATGAACTCTCTCTCTCACACAAACACTTTTGCAAAATTAATTGCTCATTTTTAGGTTGTGTGGAAATTACTTTTCAATTCATTTATCAAGGGGATTGTATAATGGCAGGAGCTGGTGCGCTATTTGGATTAAGGAGATTTAGCAGGTCCCTAAGTTCATGCGTTGATCATATCCTTGCTCTGGATGGAAGTAGAATGCAAAAGGAGTTGGCAAATATGTAGGTCACTCGCCCTTATTAATATTGGAATTTTCTAACAGAATCATGCTAGAATCAAATCTTATTGATATCCATGAAGAACCACGTTAAATCAACACCTAAAGTTATTAGTCAGCTAAGATATCTGAATGATGTAGCCTTGATCTCTTGTTGCTGGGATCTATGAGTTAAAAACTTGTTATAGACCCTTTCGAGAGGTGGAGAGGTCGTGCGAGATTTGGGAGGAGTTGAGGTTTAATGCATCCTTCTCTAGGTCTTCTTTAATTATTATCTTCATTTGATGTTGTTGGATTTGAGTCCCTTCTCGTAGGCTGTGTTTTCTGAATCTCTTTGTTGGATTTGTTTTTTTGTATGGTTTTTTATTTTCTTTTTTGTATGGTTTTTTATTTTCTTTCATTTCGCTCAATGAAAGCTCGGTCTCTTACCAAAAAAAAAAAAAAAAAAAAAAA